TCTATCTATCTATCTATCTATCTATCTATCTATCTATCTATCTATCTATCTATCTTTCTTTATTTCTCTCTCTGTGGAAACTATCTCCCAACAAGACAATACTATCATTCGAATCTCCCCATGCCATACATCGCTAAAACATGTGTACAGTGTACTTTATGTACTCACCAACCCCCATGCCTTGTTCCTCCTTTTCTATTTTCTCACGCTACGAGAAAGAATAAAACCGACAGAACAGACGAAAAAAGAAGAAAAGGAATGCACAGTTTAACAACTTGTAGCTGGAGAAGGTATCGGAAATTTCGCTGCAATAAAATTGGACGACAGTAAATGTCAGTGTCATACATTTTGTCTTGGGCAGTTGTCCCATAAATATATTTTCTGGGGAGGATTCAACAAAAGGATTACTCACGCGTCGTTAGTGCAGGAAGGCACGCGCGATGGTGCTGGGCATGGAGTGAGCTGCTATGTTGTCTGACGGAAATTGTTAAACCTAATCCATACTTTCTTTCTATCGTGTAAGTTAAGAGACGGGTTTATATCATTGTTAGGCATATTTGGATAGTACGACAGTCTAAGCAGCCTGTTTAATAAGCTGCCAGAGAGAACCGTACCCGTGGTTTTATGCACCCCGCATAATTTAGCTAAATTTGATTATTTATTAATTTTCTTTTTGGCATGATTTCGGATTATTTTCCTTTATCCTTCTTTGTTAAAATTAACAGAATCGCATAATTTCACATTTCTGGGCTCAGTTTGCATATATCTAATTTCAGAAGCTTTTTGCATAAAACCACGGGGACAGAGAGAATACCCTGTTGAACCTAACCCTTACTTTTATTTTATTTTGTAAGTTAAGATTTCTATCTTTGTTATTTGGAGAGTACAAGGGTCGAAGTCAGTAATCCGCCTCCTATGCTGTCGGAAAGAATACTCTGTTAAATCCTATCCTTACTTTTCTTCTATTCCGTAAGTTAAGAGAAGGACTTTTACTTTTATCAATGTTGTTTGTGAAATTTTAATTCAAGTGCCCTAGCAGCCCGCCTCCTATACCGTTGTACAAAAATGTTTCACCCTAATCCTTACCGTGAACGTTAACGGGTGGGCTTCTATAACTGACTATTACTGTTAACAGACCTCCGCCGTGGAGAGATTCCGTTTTCTATGTTGAGTGCAGAAAACAGGAGAGGAAATGTTAGATATTTTAAACACTAGTTTCTCTGTCTGTCTGCTGCGGTGCCGTATTTCACTTTGTCCTTGTTAGCCTGACAAGAATGGTTGAAGTACAATGTAGTCCGCCTCTCAAACAGTCTGAATTGACTACTGTGTGGAAAAGGGCTTAAACATATTATTGTTTCATAAGTCGATCCATCTACTATTGGTGAACTTCAGCACCAGAAGCATAATTTCGACACCCAGGACTGCCTCTGACATCTTCTTGTCTGTATTATCAACATCTTTTTCCCTTCCCTCTCTACCTCCTCCTCTTCATTGGCATTATCATTATCAATAATGATATATTACATTTATACAGCGCCTTTCCAGTTGGAAAGCGCCCAAAGTGCTCTGCAATAATACAAATAACATAGTTCCATTAGAAATCCGTTTACTCCCTCCATCTCTCAACCCTCCCAACCCCCGTCTTTGTCTGTCTGTCTGTCTGTCTGTCTGTCTGTCTGTCTGTCTGTCTTTGTCTCTGTCTGTCTGCCTGTCTGTCTGTCTGTCT